CACAGTGTTTTGCCAAACTAACTCGAACGGGTTCTAACAATTTGGCCAACCACTTTGCCAAGGCATATGAGTTTCACATATCCAAAATCGGTCGTAATGGCACTTTTGAATAGTTCTTGCAGTGTATTCTGTAGATGACGCTGCTCTTTCCCCATCCTTCTCTCCTTGGGTTTTGACAGAAGTCCCCTTAGACAGGTGATCGGTTTGTGGGCGACTTCGATTCTATATGATCTGATCAGCCCTAGTCATTTCCGAAATGCCTTTATGTACGGCAGCGTCGTTCTTGTCCTCGAGTCTCCGTTTGTATTTTCCTTCGTCACAATAACCTAATTTACAACATCGGGTAATTTGGAATGGTCAACTCTTTCATAGCCAGTCTATTGAAGAATCAATGTTATGATTCGATGATCGTAGGTGGGCTGGATGCTACAGACCGCAACAAACGTCATTTGAGCGTCTATATTTCGTATTAAGTAGTAAATGAATGACTCGACAACTGGGTTCGCGATCAGGCATGCGTATCCGGTAATCTTCTGTCAGTTCATTTATATGATTCGGGACTATTATGAACAAAAATATCATGTTAAGTGACAATATAAGCCTCCCTTTCGTATTTAGGTTATTCACGGTTTACACAACATAAAATGTGTTGCGGAATATGCCCGGAATCGGTGATGTTTACGGATTCGTTTACTGGCTAACCACTTCGTAACTAAATGATACGGAGAACTGTGAATATCCGAAATCAGTCCACCAGAGATACCTACCTTGAGCTGTTCTTCATTGAGAATTACTCCGAGATAGGATTACCGACAGCCTCTCTTTGCATGTTCGTTTGATTCTGGAACCCATAATTTTCTGGGCAACCAAACACATCGATGATGCTACCTGGCAAACTGCACAGGCAGAGAATTAAAAATCGATGAACATTTCTGGTACGCGCCCCAGGCTAAGGTGAGTTATTGCAACTTGAATTGTGTCCTTGTCAGCTGGACAAAGCCGCATCGTATAAAAAAATTCAAGATCATGCGATGTGGAAGTGTGTACCATATTAACAAGAAAAATACCATGTACCCATCCCAATTTAAAGTACGAAGTTACATGTCACGGGGTGGAACGCGAGAACGAGGATAGAGGGAATTAGATGTACGAAGGGGGTGAGGTGAAGCGTGGTACATTAGGGTGGGGGAAGTGGTCAGAGAATGTAGAAGAGAGTACTGGATGTACATAGAAATAGGTGAATTTCCTTTAACAGTATTAGAGAAAAAGAACGAAAAGTGAAACGAACAAGGACGGAAACCGTGGCTGAAATTTTTGTCCAACCGAAAACAGGTGTGAAGGGGAGATTTGGACTACTAGGGATGAATAATTTGAGAAGAGTGGAATATTGTGTGCGGAGGAACGTATCCGAATATAAAGAGGCCAAGACGGAGAGCGTTTCCAATGGGCCACCAAAGACTGCTGGCAAATGCGGTGGAAGGGTATGAGAAAGTCTGAGAGAGGAGAAAAAGTCGTTTTATTGTTTCAAACTGCTCAAAATGTAAAGGAAAAAATCGTTTGTAGACCAGGAGGACGAGGAATATGTGTGTTCTCTGAAATCGGGGAGCGCAAGGCACTCATTCACAAAACAGCGTCAATCACGGTTGTGGAACAGTGGTGATATTAAATAAGGCGATCGGTAACGGGGAATGCTAAGAACTGACGAAAGTAGCCTCGACAGGAAAAATGATGAGACGGAACACAATCAGCGAAGTCACTCCATCACACACAAAAAGGGAGTGGAAAACATACATGCACAAAGAAGATGAAGCGAGCGAGTTCAACAGTGGACCGGAGAGAAGGGAAGCAAGTACACCACCACAGGGCTGCCTCAAAAAGAACCAATGATGCACACTATAAAAGACATGTGGTAGAAGGGAAAGATGTGGAGAAGTCAGTGCACGGAACGGGAGAAAAACACGGTGGCAGGAGTATGCTGTACAGCTCACGCCAATCCCCAGCGGGTGATCACGAGTGGTCTGAAAGGATAAGTTCGCGAAGAACGTTGAGCGTGTCATTAAAGACAAACTTCTATAACAGTTCAAGGTGACTGCAATTGGTTCACTATTAATTTACTTCGCAATGCAAGAGAATTGTAAATGCGTTCAAAGTTGATCATCTTTAAGTGCATATTCAAACAGAATACAGCTTACGACTGTTTAATTGTCCTTTACTGAAGGTATCTATTGGTTTCAGCTTTCCAGAAGTTAAAAACAAATTCTACTATTTTTCCGGATAGATTTAATAGAAATGTTAAAAAAACACTGATTATTTCTGAAAACATCCATATAGGATGTCTACAGCACAATACTACTGATCATTGATGATGCTCTATCCGAATCCACTCCTGTCTATTTGGAGCACAGTTTGGTTCGTAAACGTTTGGGCTTGACATCGCCATAGGGCAATCATGAAGGGTACGTTTAACCCACGAACAATGAAAGTGTGCAAGGTGCCTTTGGTGCAAAACAATACATCGCCCGCATTATAGGTGACCATTATTCTAAGAATTATGAGAAACGTCCGTGATCAATGACTTATTGTAAAATATCAGAAATTGTACAAAGTAGCAAGACAGTCCGGAGTTTGGATTGGATTTACTCTAAGTTTCATCGCCATAAACGCTTTGGAGGGGGGGGGGATAGCTGAGCATTGAGACATTATATTTCCAATATATTTATAGGAAAGTAATAATGTGTAAGGTAGTTGGGTGGTAGGCCCGCCTTTACGTAGGAGAAAATACAGTGAACCTCTATGGTTAAAAAAGTAAATACAGTGTAACTGTACATACGCAACACTTCGAACATCCTAGTCTGACAAGAAGGAAACTACTGTCAACGGTTTTCTCCTATGCATTGCAGTGTCCTCAGTCAGACAGTAGTATTTTTTAGCACATTAACCTGGAAGATGGGATACACCTACTTCAACGACTCATTTCTTGTATCCACACCATCTTTTGAATTTCACTCAAGTTTTTACAGCCATGTTTTCCTTGCGCTTAATGCAAAACAGTTGTGTTTCAGGATTTTATCTATGCTAGTGCAAGTAACAGGTGACTACTTTTGATGAAAAAGTGATGCTTCGAAATCTTAATAAAACATTTTATCCATAATAAAATCACGGATGCAAAAGGACGGACTAACTTGAGGAGTCTGCGGAAGTTATTGGCGGACCCGAATCTACAGAGGAAGGATCTTGATGTACACCTCCATATGTGCTACATGAAGGCAGTGTTTGTGCTTGCTGTGGTGGTGCGGGCTGGTTTGCAGCGGCTTGAGAAGTTGGCTGGACAGGGGCTTGTTGTGACGGCTGCTGTTGTTGTTGCAGATGTTGTGCTTGCTGGGAAAGGGAATATGGTGATTGGGGAATCACTCTTGATGCAGGCATATTTACTTGTATCGCACCAAGACAGCCGGCACCAGACGTGAGGACATTAACCGGTTGAGGATAGCGTTTCTCTTTTGTTGCCACCACACGACTCAAGATCACCGGAGGTTCGAACCCAATTTCTTCCAGTCCGGTAGACGGACCGGATGTAGCGGCACATGTCAACGGACTTTGATTCATGGTAACCTGTTTGTAAATGAATAGGAAAAAATTTGGATCACAGTCAGGAATGGTTTTAAATAAATTTGGTTGTAACTTCTGGAGAAAAATGAGAAAAGTAACAAAGTGTTCTCGTGAAATCCAGCGCTAAAAAGTAAACTGAGCATTTGAATCAGTCATACATATGAAGGTGGATAGATAAACATATATGATTAATGAATTGGTCAGTGAGTGTCGCCATCATCAATATATACCGGCAAAAATCTACAGAGAAAAATGTAAACGGATCATCAAGCAGTGTTTATGTCCACAAGACTGTCTTGCTAAGTGAAGATAGGTTCTTCAAAAGAACAAAACCATCAGTCGAAATATGCTTTATGAAAGTTATCCCAAAACAGGACACGAGATACATAGGTCAAGTGATCAATTCAGGTTCATTGTGGGAACCCGCCATGCACACAAAGGTAGTCGTAATATGAACAGGGATTGAACCCATTTCGACGAGGAGGGGAAAGTAACCCTATAAGATCAACATACAGTGCACACAATCTAACTGTACATACATACATTTGAAGCATTCTACACCGATAAGAAGTGAAAACAAGAACACCACTGCAGTCAGTTGACCGACATACGTCTCCAACCAACCGGTTATGGAGTCTTTCGGACCCCAACCTAGAAGGCGTGAGGCCCTTCCTCTACCTAACAGCTCTGTGCATTTTTTTATGCATGGTCTCCGCGTCAGTTGTTGAGCCCGACAGGGTTTCCGCCAGCATGGAGCGGCTACAGCGAATGATGTGTGGTGCGACAGACGATAGCTGGGCATAAGTGTCCAAACGAGCAAAGCCTACTAATCTGAATTTCACGAGCTATCAAGTTTATCCCCGATAAACCCACAAACAGAAGACTAATCTCCAGATTATTAACCCGTTCGTATCATCCCACATGGGCCGAACTAGCTAAACACCGATTATCGAAAACTTCTAATTGATATGTCTTCTACTTGCAAATTGGAGGTCTCACAACAATAAAGCAGAACTGAAAGAAAGGTAGAACAATAAACAAGACCTCACAAATTCAGTGAAACGTGGCGTCAACGACAAAAGTGTTTTAGTCCCGTGTACCCCACTTGTGCCTTGGAAATAAGACACCCCTGATGAACGCCGCTGCTGGTGATGAACGATCAACTTAGTCAATGACAAGACGACTGCGAATATTTTATCTTTACTACAGCTAGCTTCTGCAAGTTTACGAGCTAGTTTCATTAGGAAAAGGATAAGAGTGATGTTTCCAATTCGTTCGAGGGTGCACCTACAGCTGTCACACAACTAACTGTAACCAACAAAGCAATTTGGGTTTTCGCAGTGATGCCCCTGGATTGAAGACAGTCTCCTTAATCAACGTACTTCATTCGCAAACTAGGAATTGTTTGCGAAAAAACTCATGAATGTGGGAAACAGTGTACAAGTAGTAGTGTGAATGACATTATACTTATCACGAGTGTACCACATGGTGAAACAATAACACTCACCGACTCCGAACGCGATGTCATAGATACACTCGCAGAGGTGGTACCGGTTGCCGGATGAACTTGTGATGCAAACATGTCTTTGGGTTCAGCACCGGTCGTATATACTCCAGGCATTTGAATTAATTCATTCACCGATTGCGCTGGCAGTGGCGTGGGTTTTGAATTGCCTGTCGCGGCCCCAACCGTGTAGTCTGTTGATGAAACGCTAACTGGCGTTGCAGGCCTAGCCAGATACTGAGGAGCATATTGCGGTCCTGAGGCTGTGACTGATCCGACCGAAGTAGACTGTGGTCGAAGACTGGATGTCGAAGTACTAGGAGACATAGACGGTGTTCGACCAGGTGGAGGTTGCTGAGACAGTTGCGATTGTTGTTGAACATGTACCTGTTGTTGTGTTTGATGCTGGTGGATAGGAATTTGGTGTTGTAACTGATGTTGCTGCTGCTGCTGTTGTTGTGAGAGTTGTTGAGATGTGTGATGTTGAGGTTGTTGTTGCTGATAAATAACTTGACTCGACTGAATAGGCGTTCCGGGGTGAGACTGTGGCTGATGTTGTTGCGCATAATAGATCTGCCGGGTTTGGGGATGCTGCTGTTGTCGCTGCTGCTGCAAGTGGATTGCATGATAAGGATCATGAGACTGTGTTTGTTGATGTTGCCAGGCGACGTTACCTGAATAACTCAGATAGGTGTTGCCTTGGGAATCAGAAAATGTCTGTTGGTGCTGTGGATGTGGTTGTTGTTGCACATAAATTGTGGTCGGCTGATCTGTTGCCACGTAGGTTGGGGCATGTGATTGGATTTGTTGACGCCTGACAAGCACTTGCTCATGCATCTGAGCTTGCGGATGCTGTTGTTGTTGCGGGTGCAAATGTGGGTGTGGCTGCGGTTGATGCTGTTGCTGATGTAACTGTTGCTGTTGTTGCTGCTGCTGCAAAAGATGCTGTTGCTGAAACTGTCGTCTGTGAACTTGTTTTGCCAGAATTTCTCGTAGACGCTGCCGCTCAACCTCTGAGTTGGGGTAAACTTGTTGGCCTGGAGCCGAAGTATGTTGTTGGAAGGAACCAACGTGGTCCGGACGTCTTTCTTCAACAGTAATTGTAGAAATCCCTCCCAAATGAGATTGACCTTCGGAAATGGATGGCACTTGAGAACTATGCACCACCTGAGTAGTATAATTCATATCTGCCTCTGATATACTGGTAGCGTACACATTCGAACCACCCAGTACGTAAACATTGCCCGACTGAACAGCACAAGCCTGAGAACTTATCCCCAAAGTAATTGGAGACCCTTGAGGTACAGGTGTTCCGGGAGCGGATGGCGTCCCCATTGGTGTGTTATTTGCCAGTCCAGTAGGGGTCGAAGGGGTTCCAGGATGTAGGCCTGGTTGGACTGATCCATGAGCTTTTGAGTATGAAACGTCCGAGCTCGATGATGACTGGAAAAGAGTACCACGGAACATCACTTGTGTGAAAATATGAGTGAGGCGCGAAAGCTACATCCGAAATTCTACACCAAATACTGCAACCATAAACGATTAACGCAACAAAATCGAGAACCACCTTGCAGCATAAGAGCTGCATTACCCGGTATTGTAAGAATATACCTAGGATGGTCAGTGGCGTGACTTTGATGCGTGTATTCAGACGACAGAATGAAGGATATGGCGCGAGCGAACAAGACTTTCAGGGATATAACAGACGCAAGCGATGCAAATGTTTAGAATGCAAGGTCAACTGATCAACAAATCCAACTTAGGTCAAGGTCACGAGATCATTTGGATTAACTACCTGTACGTAAATATACCGAGTGACTCAATAATTCAGAAGCACATTCAAGAATAGAACATTCAACTGTGAACAATTTGCATTTCAATCCGGCGAAACTGAGTCAAACGGCAAAGCATGATCACAGCTCGAAAACCCATCCAACCCCCACCCACCCCCGCCCTCTCCTGAACCACCTGTACATCCGACGAAGTCGACCGTTTTATTCTCAACTTTCATTGGCCATGGAAAATAAGTCCGTTCAGTTTTGGCAAAATAAACTTCATAGACAGAGACTAAGTGTACTTGATCGGGTTTAAAACGTCAGGTCTGAGTTTTGGAGAAACAGACAAGGAATTCCGGCGTCATAGACCCTTCAAAGTGAAAGGTATCTGCTTCAACTGGCGGTGAACAGCTTCGCTGTAGTTCCCTTGAATACCAAGCCAACTGCATTCCAGTACGGCTCTAGGAATAACAGTGGACGTCTAATTACAGAAACTATCAAATGAATTTGATAAAATATGTGCTTCACTTGAGAACAAAACGCTGTGATTAGATTCGCATTTGTTCAGTTCATCTCATTGATCACATGATTGCAAGTTTTTCGTCTCCTCGATTGACCCCTTTTAACTTCCCCACCAGGCAGATCTCGGTCGTATGTTGCGTCGCGCTCGCAGACAGGCGTCAATCCGATGGAATGGTGAGGCAAAACTGACGTCAAACTGATAAACACAAATGGTGGCGCACCGTTGGATTTGCGCTACAGATAATGCACAATTGATTGTCATTGCGGGGACAATGACGATACCTCAATCATCAAAGATCATCACAACAACTACTACGACCAGGAACAAGTGCAGTACATACGGTGTACTCAGAGCGATGCACTTGTTATTGCATGCGTGTATCCTGGGGTCGGTCAAACTACGAAATTGGCTGAGAGGATGCAGTCGGAGTTAAAGGGTTGAACTGGGGTTTAGGTCACTGTTTGTCATGTTCAAACAGCAGGTCCTCGTGGGGCTTTCCCCCTTTTACCAAGTATCAGAGAAAAGATACTAACAAAAAACTGACGCATGCGGTGGGTCACTAGATTTGAATGAATTGGGTCAGTGTAAAAACACTAAGATCGGTAGAGCCAAAACACCTGGTCGAAGTTTTCCAATACCATAATTGCATTTTAAAAACAAGGTATTGAATTACAGGTAGGTGTGAATCGTCCACAAAATAAATCAGGATATTTTCAAACGAGAATTATGTCAGACTACATCTTGTGACCCCTACGAATGAGTTTAGGAAATTATAGAATGAGAAAATGTTTCATGCGCAAACGCTTCTCTCCTTTTATATTCCACGACGTTATGGTGCATTTTACATTGGTCGTACTGCTTCTATCAGCAAGTTAAACATGTTCATTTGCCGCACAAGGACGAGTCGTGTGGCCGGCTCCCCCTCATTCATTGTGATCATTTGACTGGCTTCCACTTCCCGTCCTCATGCATACAAGGTCACTGTTTCCCATTTAATAACGGATTAAAGCCATGTATCCCACTATAAAATGAACCGTAAGATCCCAGATGCGGACAGTGATTAATTAATTCTGACGTCAAATTATTCCCAGATTTCATTTCCATTAGTTTACAATTGGCCAGCTGAAAAGCACCCAATATGTCATCAAAGCTGGTGACGAAACTTATACAAAAAGTGCCAAGATGGACGAACCGGCCAAATGGATTTTGTCAATCCCAGCTACGAGGACCAAATGCCAACACCTAATTCACTTAGGTGTGCGATGTTGTTGAAGAAACCATTTATAATTCTACTCTTGAGAAACGTCATGAGTTAGTCCGAGGAGCCAACGGATCCACCGCAAGAGTCGTGTTAAATTAAACGAAGTATGTTACCACTTAGAGATACATTTGAGTTAGGTAATGAGCGAACTAAATAGTGCAATCTGCACTCGGTGATACACCCTGAATCTGCAATGTGAA